GAGAGACAGACAGAGAGACAGACCGAGAGACAGAGAGACAGACAGACAGACAGACAGAGAGACAGACAGAGAGACAGACAGACAGAGAGACAGAGAGACAGACAGAGAGACAGAGAGACAGACAGAGAGACAGACAGAGAGACAGACAGACAGAGAGACAGAGAGACAGACAGACAGACAGACAGACAGACAGACAGACAGACAGACAGACAGACAGACAGACAGACAGCTGCTCAGTTAAACTTTCTCAGCAAGCTTGATTCATGAATGGGTTTCCTCCGTACTGATGGATTACATCTGATTAATACTAATGATGAAACAAGTAGTGCCCACATATTGCGCAAGATTTGTAGGTTGCCTACTTCCTGTTAGTGGTGAGGAAATGTCATACAGGCTCACACATCAGCTTAAATGATTGTTTCCAGGGCCTACAACTGAGAAAAACCTCAATGGTTGAACAAGACATACATGTTTGCTGTATTTAAAATAGACATACAATTAGAGTTATGAGGATTTGATACGACTGTAGGGATATGCTGCTAATGCTACTCCAAAGCTCTTTTCAATTTGCTTGTCAACCAGGGATGTAGTGGAGGATTGAAATTTACTCAGCACAGATTTCAGTCAGGATTAAAATGTGTGTGGCTTGTTTGGATTCCTTCTAGGAACAATTTCTCTCTTCATCCCTTTCGTCTTGTCTGTATGTTGACGTCTTATCTTTTTACTGAACAGACGGACATTTTCAGTGGCAACAAAGGAGGAGATTTGATCCAATGTCATCGTCAGTTGATGACCTTTTTAGGTTTTAAATCTCAAAGAATGTTTATTATCTCGTCGGTATTGGACTAAATGGGGCGAAGCCTGTGAGCTAGTTCAGGCAGTCAACTCGAGCACCAATCATACATTAACATGTGACGCACCTCGTCCCCCTTACAACCAACCAAACACATTCTCCTAAACATGCCGCTCTATTTAAGCTACCAGGTCTTCCTGCCTCTGCCTCGCTATGCTGCTGCGGCTGCCACTGCTGTGTTCACTTGCTATTGCTGCGTTCATGTTCCTGCTGCTGTGTTTCATGTTGCTGCTGCTTGCCTGCCCCACCATCACCCCAGCTTCCACCCCAGCTTCCACCCCAGCTTCCACCCCAGCTTCCACCCCAGCTTCCACCCCAGCTTCCACCCCAGCTTCCACCCCAGCTTCCACCCCAGCTTCCACCCCAGCCTCCACCCCAGCCTCCACCCCAGCCTCCACCCCAGCTTCCACCTTTAGGCTCGGGGGATAGTTATCTCATCATCACTCAATGTTCTTTGTAAATCTGTGGAGTGATGAGGCCCGAGCCTAGACGCCAAACTCAAACTATATGCTGCTTCTAATAAACATATTAAGAAACACGTAAGTTGTCTGACTGAAATGTGAAGAAACTAAAAGAAACAATACAGATATCCTCACATTTGTACCTAATACTTGTTTAATAGTTGTACTTCCCTTCATTCGCTTACTGTGATATCTTGAATTGTGGAGGAAATTCATTATAAAATTATTTATATTTAAATATCCTTCAAGATAGAGTTTTCATAAAGCTTTACCTAATGTCTGTACATTTGTTTCAAAAAGAAACTCTAAAAAAAAAGTCCTGCATCAAAGAAATGATACGTTTATTTCACCTAATTAATTTCAATTAATGTGCCAAATGATGACCTAAACCAAACTACATGTAGGTCAAATATGTCTTAGTTTTGATATTTGTTGCATTTGTCTTTGTACAATGACTCATCACAGTGACGTGAATCAACAGCACCAGAGAGGACAATGAGTGCAATCACAGTTCACGCCTCTGACTGTAGAACGACGTTTGTTAATAATCCTGATTGTTGGTTAACATCCCCAACATCTGTCCAATTGAATAGTCTGTATATACATGACCTTGTGTCAGCGTTTAGCGTGACAGCTGCAGCAGCATCTGAGGGACCATATGTGGGAGGGAATGGGAAAAGGCGGCCACTACACATTGTTTTTACACTGCTTCAATTATCAATACTCTATCTGCTTTGTCCTCTAGCATTGTGAACTCATCAACTACTACATAAACTACGGCATTAAAGTACAAACATATAGGCATATTAGGTAATTATATTCATATCATGTAGTTCATACATGGTGAATCCAAAGAAAATGTAACAACGTTTTTTTTAGAGAAGCATTTCTACATTTAACACAGTTGTGCAAAAAAGAGCAACTTAATATCAGAAGGATATTTATAATGATTAACCAATAAGTGGGTTAGTGATCTGACTACAAACAAGAATTGAAGGAGGAGTTTAAATAGAGTTACATGTCACTGTTCTCTAACTTATTCAGAGGCTGATATAACAACATTGTACTTGTTTTCCCAAACCTAATGACTTGCACAGCATGCCATGATCAACAGATTTCTAATGTACTGGTTGCATTTCAATCACATAGCAACACTTCTCTTTCCCTCAGCCTCTCACACACAGCTTGTCAAGTAGACACAGAAATGAAAAGTGTGTCTCTTACCAGCGAGAAGCAGAAAAGGTTCATGTTGGCTGCGAGGTGTCCTGTGTGTGTCGGAGCGTCTGATGGAGTTGGAACAGCGAGCTGAGTGACGGCCAGAGACTGAGAGACACAACAGCTCAGCGTGCGCCCGCTCTCCTGCTGTCTTCTCAGATTAATACCACAGTGAAATCCCTCCACTAATCCAATAGATGGACCACCATTACTCTACCAGCTAAAGCAGAGCTCACTCTTGACAACAGGCCCTCCATTGGTGGAGCAACAGAGTGAGTCTTTGTTTGGAATCTATATTTTTTAAGCAGGGAAGCTTTGTGCAGCAGACATGCTCTTTTTTTGTATCCTATAGCAATGGAAGAATCGTTATATAATTTACCCAAGTATCAAAACTAATGTAAAAAAAAATCACAAATAACAGTCCTGCAATCGAAATCTTAATATATGATAGTATTATCAGCCAAAATCCATCAAAAATATACATATACAGCAAAAATGAATGTATAAATACATGTATATGACATTTGTAGTTGTTCATACTGCTGCATCAATGTGTTTCACTGTTGTATGATTTGCTTCTCTGGTAGTTTTAATCCAGTGGGTCCAGTTCAAAAGGTTACAAGATAATGGTGACGGGAGGGGTTGGCCTTCAGAGATGACTAATGGGGTGAAAAAAGAAAAAAGAAACACATATAATACGTTCGGATACAAAAACATACCTTCTTTATGATGGCTTTGGCATTTTAATGGATTTGTTTCCTATTTTATTACATGCATTGTTCAAAACAGTTGTGTTCTACTAATGATTGAAATATTAGCAGGGTTATTTTGACGAGGAGATTCTTAAAGGCATTATCTATTATCTCAGTATAAAGAAGAAGCACGTGATTTAGAAACTGCGTAGTAACAACAAAGAAAATAAATCAAATAAGCTTCAAACTGTCCAACTGGAGCAGTGCCAAAAATGTTGCAAGATCCTTGATTAAATCTAAAAAATGTCTCAACGAACATGATTGGAGCTTTACACAGCCTTGCCCCCATGTACTATAGACAAAGACACTTAGCATGAGGCATGATGCTAATTCTCACATGCTCAGCAGCACAGCTCTTCCTGTGTGGGCAGCAGATGAGAAGTAGTATTTCCCTCATGCTCTCAATGTGGTTTTCTGCACACTGACTTCTTTAGAAGTTTCAATAATTCCTCTAAATCATGGAAAGTTGTAACATTTTTGTTTTGGGGTGATTCCCCCAAAATTGGTTCAAAAACATAAACATGATTGCGTTAACGTCCACTGTGTGCATCTGTGTTTATTTGGGACATGTACAATATGTGTGTATTTATGGGTAACACATTAAGTGTAAAAGGTTGTGATCTACTTATCCACCTCTGCCATCTGAGCTGCAGCCGGAGAGATTAACACTTATGACCTATATTTTACAGAATTATTTGCCTGATGTCGAGAGGCCCATGAGGTTGGGAGGTATTTTGAATCCATGCCATTCAATCATTGAACGTCTTTGTGTTTTTGGAGGAACAGGAAATGCATTTAAGAAGGAGATTAAGTGGAGTATCGGCTAATAAATAAACAAACTAGCATGATCAAAGGGTAACGTTCCTCCTTAATTAGTAAGCTAAGCTTTAAGATGCTTTCTTTGTAGTTACTATTACTATTCCTGGCCTCATGTTGAATAACTTTGTAGATGAAACACGCTCCGCAGTGTGTTGATGGGCATGAGTACAGCTCTGTGATTGCCTGACAGTAACAGGGTGTGAAGAATGTTCTCTGAGTGAATGAATGCTGCCAGGCGAGATTCACACACTGAACAGGAAGTGAGAGAAAAACTTTTGTGAACAAGTTTTATTTGTTTCTTTAAAGATACATAATGTGCCTGGCTCAGTGGGGGAAAAGGTGAGGATCATCAGATGATAATGTACTTATGCTCATCACATTTCTGTTACCATATAAGTGTCTTTATTTGATCAATGTCTGTTTGGTTAAATGCCAATCTGTCTCTTTGTTTTTTTAGTTTAGTTTTGTTATTGGTTTTGGGTTATTCTCATTACATAAATGCACACAAACTAGACCAGAACACCTCTCTTTGTGTAAGGCTACGTGGAGATGTTGGACAGAATTAATTGGCTTACTATAATTTATTACCCAGTTTAACTTCATGAAAAAATTAGACAACTGGCCGTATAGCGACATTAAGAAAGAGTAAAGAAAAATATGTGTTTGAAAATAAGTCCTAATACAAAATGTTGGTTGCATTGTCATAATTCTCAAAGGCTCCATGTTTACATCGGCAGTCTTCTATTGTTGCTAGATGTCCCAAAAAAAACAGCTACACTGTGTTTTTAAACCCATGTCAACCTCACGTGGACACATTTGCTGGGTATAATTGGTTTAACCTTGTACATCAGAACAATAGGCTTCTGTCTAACCTGTAACAAAAGACAGCTGAAACAAATCTAGCAGATCAATTCAAAGCTTTATTTCTTTCCATTACATGTTTTGAAACAGCCAACTTCACATTACAGCCGACACAGACAGCGACCAACGTAGCACAGTGTGTGTGTGTGTGTGTGTGTGTGTGTGTGTGTGTGTGTGTGTGTGTGTGTGTGTGTGTGTGTGTGTGTGTGTGTGTGTGTGTGTGTGTGTGTGTGTGTGTGTGTGTTGTGCGTGCGTGTGTGTGTGCCCTTTCGCTATCACTAGATCTTTGAAGATAAAACATGGCTTTGAACCAGTGCATTTTTGGCTGTGAAATGAAGAGTGAGACTAAATCATTAATCATAATTTCATGATTGAATTGAAAGTAAAAGCAAGATAGGAGTGTCAGATGAACAAATCATTTTCTATCAGATTCAGACTCAGGTAATTATTTGTTCTCGTATTATTTTAATTCATCTGGAAGTGGAAGTGAGCGCTTATAGGGAGGCCTCAGGGTCCGCAAAGGTCTTCAGTGCAGCAGGTTGTGAAGTCATCGTCATCTCCGCAAAGCTCCTCACAAGTTCGAAGAAGTTCTTCTCCTGTCGACAAAAAAAAACAATGTAAAATGAGTTTACAATCCATGTGTCATTGTACCGGATGAAAATGGCTTCTCTAAAAATGCCAAACAAACATAATAAAACATAGACATTAGATATAAAGTACAGAAATAGCTTAAGTACCGTGCTCCATGGTCTTGCAGTACTGAGAGGATGCCGGGCAAACTGTCTCCGCCTTACAGTTCACGTCTCCTTCGCAGGTGAAGCATGTGAGTGAGAGCACTGACGGGAAAAAACAAAAGCAATTAGAATTAATTGCTACAATAGTAAGACGTTTTTAAGACAACATCAATATTAAGTTAGTGGTAGTACGCCCTTTTTTTTTTTTTTTTTTACAACAACACCACTTTGTTTTACAACTACAAAACTTTTTTTTACAAGTACAAAACTTTTTCTTCTCACGGCGGAATATTACTGCCAAAAGTCACGTGAGTGAGTCACGTGACTTTTGGCAGTAATATTCCGCCGTGAGAAGAAAAAGTTTTGTACTTGTAAAAAAAAGTTTTGTAGTTGTAAAACCTAAGCTGAATTTGTCTCTGAAACATGATTTATTAGAAAAATGTTATGTGTTTGTTTGATAGATACGTTTTTTCTTTGCAAAACTAAATTCATTAGTTTGTAGATGGTGTTTTGTATTTGCAAACCACATTGTGTTTGTTAGTGAATCATAAGGCATTTGTAAAACCTGTTTAGTTTGTTTGTGGAGTTATGGCAGGAAATTAGCTCCAACAGTGCAACACAATAAAACAGATACAAATAGTGCAAGTACAATAAAACAGAATAGAATAGAAGTAGTGCCATAAGAGTCTATATACAAGTGATACATAATTTGTAAGTTACAAACAGGTGAATGTTACAAATGATGTATCACTTGTATATAGACTCTTATGGCACTAATATAATGGCATTAGGTAATGCATCAGAGATCAAATAAAATGCTTCCATTATAGATTAAATGTTTTTACTTCATATTGGATATTTTCTTTATAAATACGATGCTTTAATATAATTATAATTGGAATATGGCTCACCTTGAGCGCTAGACAGCAGGAGCACCAGCGTTAACAGCAGGACCTTCATGTTGTCAGATGGTATGCGGACAAACCTCTTGCACTCGCACCTTTATACTGCCATTCCACATACCAGTCTTTTATTTAGTTGGGCACTTCCTTGTAAATTGTTTTCCTTTCCTGTAAATGGGTTTTCATTTAAGCTCTATTGTCTCCAGTGAAAGGTGAAACCAAAAAAAAACAATAGGTATTTTATTTCTGATGGACAAGGTGTTGCAGGAAGAAAAGCCAGCCACTTCTTTTATTGAAAATGCTGTTTGTAAACTTTGAATTTCTGAAATGAGCTTTATGTCTGACTTGTGAACAGAATGTGAGTTTTTATATTTTATCAAATTAAACTAGACGATGTCATATATTTCAGCAAAGCAGCCTTTACTGTCCATTCTGTAAAAGCATCAGAGGCCTTATTTTGTCCTGCATTTTATTGAACAACAGTTCAATTACAGTGATTTGTATTATTTTTAAAGGATTGAAAGTGGACATTTTTAATCTATCAATGTATTCAATCCAAACAGCATGCGGGGTTTGGCTGCGAAAACAGAAAATCATGCCAAGTACCACAAATAACTTTGTGGAAACTCCCCTCCTAAGTACTTCCAGTTCAGCTGTGCTAGGAGCTAAATGCTAATGACAACATGTCAACTGACACTAAATTAAAAGAGAACATGGTGATAAATGGCAGGCACAAGATTTTATTAACTTTAAACATTCCAGGTAAAGGAGTTCATACTGAGTTGGAAACATGAGAGTTGTATTAATCCCTACTTGTTTACAGCTCTGATGCTGTAGGTTGAAGACAATAACATCCCCACAGTACATTCACACACTGTATGGTGTCGACGTGGTTCTGAGGCTGGCTACTACCTGAAGCTGTCCTTTAGTTACATCTGTAGGCAACAGTGGGGTAGTGCAAGACTGTGTGTGTGTGTGTGTGTGTGTGTGTGTGTGTGTGTGTGTGTGTGTGTGTGTGTGTGTGTGTGTGTGTGTGTGTGTGTGTGTGTGTGTGTGTGTGTGTGTGTGTGTGTGTGTGTGTGTGTGTGTGTGTGTGTGTGTGTGTACCAAATCTCTTCTTGTGTTTGTTATTATAATAAACAATAATGTGATAATTGCATATATTAAACCACGTCAAGTGTTTTATTAAAACCTCTATTTACATCAGCTTATATACAAGCAGTGCTCTGTATTAATAACATGTTTAGTTTGTTACTGACGTCACTGATGTACAACTCAAAAACAAGATGGAAGAGGAAAACTGGAAATTCATTTATGAGGTCATTTTCCTTCACATGGATTATTGATCTTTGCAAATCAAGCAGTAACCGACATAACTGTTAAAAAATCGAAGTGAGCTTTTTCTCAGTGAAATACTTTTCCAAGAGAAGTTCAGATGTTCTCTTTTGTTTTTCTCTCACTTGCATGCATAGCTTGAATAACTTCATTCTAGTCGTTTTGACTTAACCTGTTATAAAGTTGTGGTATTGTTTTGTTTTTGCAATTTCAAATATGTAAAAATATGTTTTAAAAAAATGAAAAGTAGCAACTGATAACTAACAACTTCAGACTCATATTTTTTAGCCTTTTCTTATTAGAGCTTCACATAAGAATATTAAACTGCTCTATATGTCATTTTTTACACGACATGTTTTCTATGTATTGTTTTACACTATAACCAACAATTACAAACTCATCTCTCTTGTTAAAAAGTAAAACATGTCAGTTTCTCCTGTACTGTGGCAGCATTTCTGTCTTTAGCTGTTGATGTCTTTATTCTGTGGAACACACATACCTGTTAAACTACATAGTATGCACAGTATTAACAAAACCAATTACAATTCACTTTTTGAGATAAGCCATGTTTCATAATGTGTCATTTTAAAGTATTTTAAAAATAAATACATGTTAAACCAGATATTATCAATCAAATGCTTCAGTGTCTTTGACCTATGAAGGTTATTATCTTTACAGTATAATATGCACTGTGATGCCTCATAGATCTCAACCCATGTGTTGCTTTTCCTACTTTGGTCCTTCAAATTTCCTTTCTCGATAAGAGTCGCTCTTCTTCATCAGGTAGAGGAGGACCATGTCACAGAAGAAAGCTCCCTGTGAAATTAAGTTTTACTGAGTTACCGTCACAACTGGCAAAATCTAAAATCCTGTGCAGTTCTTTTGAAAGCAAATGATTATTGATGGTACTTACAGCTCCCATTAAAGCCAGTCCTGAACCCACGTTGATGGCTGTTGGGATAATGCTGAACATCCCCGCCTATGAAAAGCAGAGGAAATACAAGTAATGTAGAATAAGAAAGTGGAAAATTACCAATATAAAAGGTTATAACTGTTGTTTATTTATCAAGAGAACCTGCATCATCATGCTTTGGCAGAGCAGATTAGTATTTCATGTATTCATCCTAAAAAGAAATGTATTTACCTTTCCGTGGACCATAATGTTAAATCTGACACCGTAGACTTTGAATAGAGATCGATAGCTCTCACCAGCAGCATTTTTGAAATAACGAGTGTGTCTGTTGAGGAACAAATGGGAAATTATAGAGGCATGAGAATGACAAAAAAATAAGACGCAATTAAGACATTCATTGAATTACATTACATTTAATTTAGCTGGCGCTTTTATCCAAAGCGACTTACAGTAAGTGCATTCGACCAAGAAGATACAAACTTGAAGAAAACAGAATCATATAAGTACATTAGGTTTCATAGAGCCAAACCATTTTAAGTGCTACTCAACTGGCTTTAGATAAGCCAGTCCTTAGTACACGAGTGCTTTGTTAGTATATAAGTGCTTTGTTAGTATATGAGTGCTTAGTTAGTATATAAGTGCTTAGTTAGTATATAAATGCTTAGTTAGTATATAAGTGCTTTGTTAGTATATGAGTGCTTAGTTAGTATATGAGTGCTTAGTTAGTATATAAGTGCTTAGTTAGTATATAAGTGCTTTGTTAGTATATGAGCGCTTAGTTATATGAGTGCTTAGTTAGTATATAAGTGCTTTGTTAGTATACGAGTGCTTAGTTAGTATATAAGTGCTTTGTTAGTATATAAATGCTTAGTTAGTATATAAGTGCTTTGTTAGTATATGAGTGCTTAGTTAGTATATGAGTGCTTAGTTAGTATATAAGTGCTTTGTTAGTATATGAGTGCTTAGTTAGTATATAAGTGCTTAGTTAGTATACAAGTGCTTAGTTAGTATATAAATGCTTAGTTAGTATATAAGTGCTTTGTTAGTATATGAGTGCTTAGTTAGTATATAAGTGCTTAGTTAGTATACAAGTGCTTAGTTAGTATATAAATGCTTAGTTAGTATATAAGTGCTTTGTTAGTATATGAGTGCTTAGTTAGTATATGAGTGCTTAGTTAGTATATAAGTGCTTAGTTAGTATATAAGTGCTTTGTTAGTATATGAGCGCTTAGTTATATGAGTGCTTAGTTAGTATATAAGTGCTTTGTTAGTATACGAGTGCTTAGTTAGTATATAAGTGCTTTGTTAGTATATGAGTGCTTAGTTAGTATATAAGTGCTTAGTTATATGAGTGCTTAGTTAGTATATAAGTGCTTAGTTAGTATATAAGTGCTTAGTTAGTATACAAGTGCTTTGTTAGTATATGAGTGCTTAGTTATATGAGTGCTTAGTTAGTATATAAGTGCTTTGTTAGTATACGAGTGCTTAGTTAGTATATAAGTGCTTAGTTAGTATATAAGTGCTTTGTTAGTATACGAGTGCTTAGTTAGTATATAAGTGCTTTGATAGTATACGAGTGCTTAGTTAGTATATAAGTGCTTAGTTAGTATATAAGTGCTTTGTTAGTATATAAGTGCTTAGTTAGTATACAAGTGCTTTGTTAGTATATGAGTGCTTAGTTATATGAGTGCTTAGTTAGTATATAAGTGCTTTGTTAGTATACGAGTGCTTAGTTAGTATATAAGTGCTTAGTTAGTATATAAGTGCTTTGTTAGTATACGAGTGCTTAGTTAGTATATAAGTGCTTTGATAGTATACGAGTGCTTAGTTAGTATATAAGTGCTTAGTTAGTATATAAGTGCTTTGTTAGTATACGAGTGCTTAGTTAGTATATAAGTGCTTTGTTAGTATACGAGTGCTTAGTTAGTATATAAGTGCTTTGTTAGTATACGAGTGCTTAGTTAGTATATAAGTGCTTTGTTAGTATATAAATGCTTAGTTAGTATCTAAGTGCGTTTTATTTTTTTTATTGCTCGAAGTGGAGTCGAAAGAGATGAGTTTTCAGTCTGCGCCGTAAGATGTGTAAGCTTTCTGCTTACACATCAAATATTTGAATAATTTCCTTACAAATGTGTTTTTAAATTGTAAATACATTACATTACATTGTTGAAGAAAATTGTAAATATTTGTCTTTGCGACATACTGTAGAAACATACAGTCTGCAGTGACTCTGACCTGAAGTTAAATCCTGTTGAGATTGAGTTGTTGGAGACGTCCAGACGTGTGAAATGGTAATGTGGATTACATTTAGAGTAGCCTTTGTCAAGGTCACAGTCCCACTCTATCAAAAGGCCAATGGAGCCACCCTGGGAAACACAATACCAAACAACTGTGTTAACTAATCATAGTAAAAAAATGGGAAATGGTGGGTCTTAAAGGGCCCATGTCATGCTTTTCCGGTTATTACCCGTCCCCTTGTGTGTTATGAAGGTTTTTATGCATGTGAACGGTGTGCAGAGTCACAAACCCTCAAAGTACACCCTGTAGTGAGTAAAACTCTAACACAGAAAAGACCTCCCCAAAACGCCTCGTTGGAGATACGTCATTGTCCATTTGATTCTTCCATTTCGTTCCGGGTACGGCATGATGTCAAGCCGTACCCGGAACGAAATGGACCAATCCGTTTAGCCGTTACGTTACGTCCGCGGAGCCGTTACGTTAAGCTGATTGGTCCAAATTGACCAATCCACGGACTTCATAACACACACATCTGTGTGCAGGGAGCAGGCAGCTCAGCTGATTTCTCCTCCCTGGCTGCAGGCTGATAACAGACAGTTGGGATCGCGGCGAAATTCTCTCTGCAGACCCA